ATTCTTTTTGTCCTGTTTTCATGACTCCTTCTGAGACAGGCCCAGCTGCAAACGGCCTATAGTGACAGAGGGGGCATTGTTCCATTTAGCTTTTTCATGATGAGCTGAGTTAGCCTGGTCTAGTCTCATTTCTGCCTTTCCTAGGGTTTCCTAAAATGTGTATTATTTGGGGTGTGTGGCAGAAGTGAGTTCCACTGAATTAATATTTACTAAATGCCAGGAGCTTTCTAGTTAGGGCCGTCTATTAGTGAAGGACAGGCCTGGCTGTAAAGAAGAGCCTGTGGGCACCCAGAACTGCACCAGAACAACCAAGGACTTAGGTTGTTTTAGTGTCTAGACATCCTTAGGCTTCAATAGTCTTCCTTCCTCCCACCCCCATCCCCAGACAAAATGTAATTAGTCTTTTACATAGACCTCATTTCATCCTCACAATCACCCAGGGAAGTTGGTATCAAGAAGGTATTATCCCTATTTGGGAGCAAACAAGCACATCCACATTGACTTTGCCCAAGGCCACATAGCCATGTGGGATATGAACCCAGGTCGTCCTAATTCTTGCCACTACAATTAGTTCTCAGACTATTTTCTAGAGAAAGTGGTGGAAAAGCAACTGAAACCAATTCTTTTTTATAATAAGGGATGTCTGCTGGTGTTCTCTACACTAGAGCTGTGCTGCCTGACCCAGACTCAAATGTAATTAGGAAATGTTTAACAAAAGAAATAAAAGTACAATGCAACATAGACAATATTAATTTGTGGTTTTCTAGGTCAATCTGTGTTTAGGGATCACCACCGCTCTATGCCACTAAAGGGAATCCATGGTGGCACCCTTGGACAAGCAGAGATGCACCCTTGCCACGAGAGGCATGCCAATAAAGTCTAGTTCCAAGATAGAAAATAGAATCAGGATCAAAGGTTGTGAATGAAAAGTTGCTAGATGGGAGGAAGAGATGGTGGAGAGCATCTGGGTTATTAACAAAGAAAAAGAAGTAATATTGTCATGCTATATACTACAGACTGACTAAACAGAAAGATGAAATAGAAGAATTTGGGACCTGTCACAAGGCAAGTTATGAAAGTGTTGCTGTCATCTTTTTCAGTTATGTCTGGCTCCTCGTGACTCCATTTGGGGTTTTCTTGGCAGGGATATTAAAGTGGTTTGCCATTTCCTTCTCCAGTTCATTTTACAGATGGGGAAACTGAGGCAAAAAGGGTGACATGACTTGCCAAGGGTCACACTGCTAGTGTCTAAGGCCAGATTTGAACTCAAGAAGATGAGTCTTGCTGGTTCCAAGCCCAGTGCTCTATCCACTGTGCCACCCAGCTGCCACAGTTATAGAAGTAATGGGGGCCAATTTTCCTGACAGACTGGAATTCTCTCTGAAAAGCAGGGTAAATAATGATTTCTTGACATGCCTTAATGATAATTTCATACCACAAAAGGTAGAATCAATGAGGGAAACTTCTCTTTTTGGACACAAGTCTCACTAAAGAGTATCTGGTTGCTAGGATGGGGAGTGGGGTGGAGAGGGAAAGGTGAAATGACTGTCCTATCTCAGAATTTGTGACAGGAGGAATGCCAGGCAGAGACACGTACCCTACACTGGCATACAATGACATGTACCTTAGATTTCAGGAGTGGCTATTTCAGAGGATTCTGAGAAAGGTTAGGTAAGATCCTATGGCCTAAAATTCTATAGGGTAAGTCAGCTCTCAAGAATGAGATTCTGAAGACCCAAACAGAAACAATTCCAGTAAAGAAAAGGGGGAGCAATCTAAAGAGATCAGTGTGGACACACAGGGAAACTGATCAACCAAGAGATTTCTTAAAATGGTCGTACAAAAGATCAAAACAAAAGCAACTAGCAGAGGATAAATACAAAAACATGTCACGGTCCTAGAAGAAGAGCGGTCTGGGATGGTCATTCTGAAGTCATGGAGAATCAGATGGCTTGGGGCTTCTTTTTTTTAAGCTTTATTGGGGAAAAGAACCAAGAAGGGATAGGGTGGATGCTCAGAGATGATGGGCTAATGATATACAATGGAGAGGAGACAGAGCTGCTTGATTATTCACTTGTTTCTGACTTCTCTGGACTGAGGTCAGACCAAATATGGTTAGTAAGGCATGCAAAGGCAAGCAAAGTAATGATAGTAAGTGAGCCCCTAACTGCTCTTGGTAAGTCTAAACCACAAGGCTCAGAGGAACCACACCCTCCAGGGCTGCAAGAACTGACAGATAAAATGCCTGAGCCACCATCAACAATACCTGAATCATAACAGAGAATGGGACAGCGGCTGCAGAATTGAAGGGCAAATGTCCCAACTTACAAAAAAGGAAAGAGAACAGAATTTGCTAACTGCAAGCCATGCTTGACTTTGACTCCTGGAAAAGGTATTATTATTGTTATTATTATTAAAGGAATGGTTCATGATGGAAAGAAGTCATCACAAAGAGCCAGAATGCTCCTAGATTTTACCGACTAAAATTTAGCCAGTCATTTGACAATGTCTCTCATGCTAACTTTGTGGAACAGTTAAGTGAGCTAGGTGCTAGTATAGATGGATCTGGAACTCTATGGATGGGTCAGAGTAGTCATGGATGGCTCCATGGCAATTTGGAAACATGTCTCTAGTGGAATGCCTCAAAGGTCTGCGGGAGGTTCTGTGATGCCTAACATTTTAATCAATGATTTGAGATTAAGGGATAGATGGGCATGCTTATCAAATCTGCAAATAACACAAAGGTGGGAGAAATAACTGACACAATATGATGAATGGCAAATGCCAGGCTCCTGAAAGGTCTCAAAAGGCTAGGTTATTGGGCTAAAATGAGTAAGGTGAAACTGAACAGGGAGAAATGCAAAGTCATACTCTTGTATTCAAAAAATCAACATCATAAGTACAAGATGTGGGTAGAATGGCTAGACAGAGGTTCTCCTGAAAAAGATGTTGGGGTTTTAGCAGGCTCCACACGTGCTCAACAGTATGATATGGCAGCTGACAAAGCTAATATGATCTTAAAGAGTGCATTAAGATTCAACAAGCATTTATTAAGCACGTGGTTTATGTCAGGCACTGTGCTAAGGGCTAGGGATACAAAGACAGGCAAGGCAACAGAAAAGGAGCTTCTATTCTAATGGAGAGCCTCAGTGTACAGGTCTAGGGAGGTCCCACTATACTCTGCACCCTGCTCAGACTACATCTGGAGTATTGTGGTTGGTTCTGGGTGCCACATTTTAGGAAGGATGACTGTCCAGAGGACAGGTAAAGAGAGTGGAGTTCATGCCATCTGATTGGCTAAAGGAATAAAAAAGCATGTCATGGCCTCCCTGTGGGGAGAGTATCAAGAAGGATAACGTACAGAATGGAAATATTTATCTTGAAAAGAAGACTTATTGGTACATATATCCTAGATCTACAGCTGTGCAAGGGCCCTCAGGGGCCATCTAGTACAACCTCTTCATTTTACAGAGGAGGAAACTGAAGACCATCCCAACTGAGGAGGTGAAAGGGACTCCTGTGAGATTACACATCGGATGCTAAAGACCTGAAAGGTCCCTCCCAACTCGGAGATCCTGTGGGGCTATGGGACTCCCCTAATTCTAGTTACAGGTAGTATTGTGGAAATAGAGTTAGAGGTCCAGCAAAATTCAAGCCTGACTAGATGTTTGGTTTGCCCAGGGCTTTTTGGCAAGGGTAACCCTAAAACTACCTTCTGAATCCCTTCTCTGACTCGCCCTCAGGGCATAATTCAATAAGCACCTTACTCCTAAGTTAAAATCTTAGTTGCCCTACTCATCTTGTCCTCAATAACACTGCAATTATTTTTAATTTTCTTGCAACTATGGTCTGAAAATACTGTATATACATATATATATATATATATATGTTATAATCTTAGTTGCCCTACTCACCTTGTCCTCAATAACACTGCAATTATTTTTAATTTTCTTGCAACTATGGTCTGAAAATACCGTGTGTGTGTGTGTGTGTGTGTGTGTGTGTGTGTATATATATGTAAAATTTCTGTTTTTTAGATATTTACACAGGATTTGGTACCCAAGTAAATGATCACTTTGTGAGTTTCATTTGCAACTTGAAAAAAATGCCTATTTTCTGTTTCTTCCATGTATTTCACTACATACTAAGTAGTTGAGACCTGTGATTTCTTTATTCTAGATCTGTCACTGTCTAGTAATAATGGAGTGCCAAAGTTGCCAATTATATCTTTCATCTGATTCTTCTCGTGATGCTGATAATCTTTAAAAATTGGCTTGCTATTATTATGTCTTCACTTTGTCCCTTGGTTCTTTTATATTGAAAAATTTAAAATCAAATCTAGTTCTCTGATTTGGTAACTATGTCCCTTTCAACATTATATAACACTCTTGCCTGTCTCTTTCAAGGTATTCTGATTGGAATTAAAATTTATTTCATATCATTACCACTGTTCCTGTTCTTACACTTGAAGTTATGTAACATATTTTAGATCAAGATTTCAAATTTTAGTCTACTGCCATTTTTTTTGCATTGTATTAGCTTGCACTACAAACTGTTTTTTTAAAATCCATTCTATAACATTATCCCTTTTAATAGGAGAATTCAGATCCTTAACATTTAACATCATTAAGTATTAAATTGAATTTGCCTCTGGCATTACTTTTTCTATTTTTCTTCTCAATGTTGTCTAGAAGAAGTGATCTCTACTTATTTCTCTGTAACTATTTCTACTAACTAAAATTTAAGAATAAATCAGTTTGTCTGTTAAACTCCTAACTCTGTATAATTCCCTGTGACTTGATTCTTTTTTTTTTGTTAAATAGATGAGCTTTGCTTTAAGAAGCACTGGCTCCTCTCCTTTCCCCTTCCTTTATTTCTTGACAATTTTTAAATGACGTTTTGTTTCAAAAAAAACAAAAACCCTAAACAGTTTAACTCTTCTCTTTTTCATCACATTTTTTAAAATGTCAGATAGAAATGTTTATATTTCTCTTATAAAATCTTAATCACTTTGCTTTGCAATCAACTATATGTAACCATAGGTCTAAATTATCCTGTACCAACTATTTGTTTGGACTTTTCAAAGGTGAACTTATGCCAAATTCTTTTGAAGTTATCTTGGTTGCTCAACATTATTTTTATGCCTTCAAATAAAATATCCAAATTTGTAAATGCAAGAAATGTAACTTTCAGATCCAAGCCTATTCTTTTAAAATTTTGTCATTTTCCCCTTGTCATGGCTGAGAAATTTGGAGATTTTGATCTGTACTTGAAATATTTTTTTTCATCATTCTGTTACATGTCTTCTGGATGTGAACATGGGATATTTTCATGCTAGAGTCCTCAAGTTCTGCACAACTGCACAGTGATGCCTGTTGATGTCTATTCTGTTAAGTGTTCTCCAATTATTTCATCAAAAATGGAGTCTAGTTTTTCTTTTGTGATACCTTCTGGGAGCCCAAGTACCATATGGTTTTATCTGCCAAGTCTTTAACTACTTTTTGGACTTGTCCAATTGAATTGGAAGGAAATGCAGACGCATGTCTTGCAACTTTATCAGGAGACATCATGCCATCTTTAATGGAGAAAACACTCAATTTGGAGTTGGAAGACATGGCTTTGAGGCCTTGCCACTTACAAGCTGTGCTAGGATCCTATTCCTTCCTCTGCAAGATTGGGCTAGGATTATATAGACTATATAGTAAGGATAATGACAGCTGACATTCTTATGTCACTTTAAAGTTTGCAAATGTCATTTGCATAAGGTTTACATGTTATTTCATTTGATCCTCAATAGTATGAGGTAGATACTGCAGATATTAACATTATATGAGAAACTGAAGCTCTGGGAGATTAGGTGACTTGTCTGTGATCATTTAGCTAGTTGAAGATTAAAAATAAGCTTTAATCACAGGTATCCAAAATTCAGTCCTTTTTACCGACTCACATTGCCTTGAAAGATCTGTTAAGGATTAAATGAGATCTAGGATGTAAAATACTAGGCCAGTATTAGCTATTATTATTCATTGAACTTTGCTCAGATAATTACTTTTGCTTCTACTGTCATTTTAATTTTCCGTGTTCTTTTGCATCAAGAGGCAGCTTGGAGTGGTAGTTGTAGTCATTCTCAAAGTGTGGTAGGGGGAATCTCTCGATGTCCCTGAAACCATTTCAGGGTATGCATGAGGCCAAAACTAGTTTCATAATAATACTAAGACATTTTAATTCCTAATATGGTCAGATTTGATAAATATAACCCACATAAAACATCTTTGGAGGGGAGAGGTCCTCAAGAATTTTTAAAAGCATAAAGCAGTCCTAAGACCAAAAAGTTTGAGAACCACTGGGGTAATATATGGAGAGATGGTCTCAGGGCTATGGAGAGGTGGATTCAAACCCTGCCTCTGACACCAAATAGCTATGTGAGGCTGGGCAAGTACTCTAGGCAAGTCTCTAAGACTATAAGTTGCAGAGAGGGAATTTACCAATCCATTGGTAGACCGAATTTCCTGACCTATGCCAACAAAGTCACAAGGCTGGTCCCTATCTTTACATTTTCCCTCTATCTCTTCCATGGCTTTTTTTGTGGCTGAATTAGAATCTCCCTTTAATGCAATCATCCAATTAATTTTCCCAGCATTTGTGGGACTGATTCTGCTGGCATTTCTGTCTTCATTTTGTCCCTTGGTTCTTTTATTTTGAAAAATTTAAAAACAAATCCAGTTCTCTGACTTGGTAACTATCTATTGGATGGTATTATTCTTTCCTTTTGTTAATTCAATATTTTTTCCCACCTTGAGTAACTTGAGACTGAAGGTAACCCTCTTTCCTTCTCCTTCAGTGGAGGTCATCCCTGAAGGTGGGATCAGAATGGAGGGAAGATCAATGAATTTGGAATAAGAGGACTTGAGTTTGAATCCTAGCTCTGAGTAACCTTGGAAAAGCCCTTCAGCTTCCTTGGAATCTGTCTCCTCATCTGTGAAATGCAGGCAGTTTTCTACTCTATGATTCTCTAATTCCAGTCCCAGCTCAGAGGCCAGGTACCGTAGTTACTGTCAGATGCTACCAGCCTGTGATCCACTGCTGCCCAAAAGGGGGCCCTCCCTTTCATTCTTCTCTTGCTTCTTGGCCTACCTACATGGCAGGCCTGGGTAATAGCTCAATCTCCTTCTCAGACCCTTTGGTCCTAGTCCCAGGGTTACAGCTCTAGGCCTTGCTCCCTTCTCTACCTCCTTTCTGGTAGTGGCAGTGGTGGTAGCGGCTTCAGGCTTCCCCTTCTTAGTTTGAGAGGTTAATTCTGTTATATCCCTACAGTTTTTGTTTAAGGAATTTGGGGGGAGCTAGTTCCCTGGAAGTCTCTTGTTCAAGACAGTTAGGGTTTCTCTCCACGATGCATATTCTAACAGGCATTAAAGGCCAAGTTCTGTCTGAAGGATTTTTCAATGACAGACAACATTCCTCTCCACTGAGAGTAATGGTACACAATATAAAGTCTGCCAGCTGAGTGATGTCTCTCCTGTATTAATCACATTCACAGAATTTCTCTCCACTGTGAACTTTCTGATGTCGAATAAGATGTGAGTTCCTACTGAAGGCTTTTTCACATTCATTACATTCATAGGGTTTCTCTCCACTATGGATTCTATGATGCCGAATCAGGTGTGATCTCCCCCCAAAGGCTTTCCCACACTCATTGCATTCATAGGGTTTTTCTCCATTATGTATACTATGATGATCATTAAGAGCTGATCTCCACCTGAAAGTTTTCCCACATTCATTGCACTCATACGGTTTCTCGCCACTATGAATTCTCTGATGTCCGATAAGATATGAGCTCCTACTGAAGGCTTTCCCACATTCAGTACATTCATAGGGTTTCTCTCCACTATGAATTTTTTGATGCTGAATGAGGTGTGAACTCCAGATGAAGGCAATCCCACATTCATTACATTTATAGGGCTTCTCTCCACTGTGAATTTTTTGATGTCCAATAAGGGATGATCTCTGACTGAAGGCTTTCCCACATTCAGTACACTCATAGGGCTTTTCTGCATTGTGAATACTCTGATGTCGAATGAGGTGTGAGCTTCTGCTGAAGGCTTTCCCACATTCATTACATTTATAGGGTTTCTCAGTCCTATGATTTCTCATGTGTCTCACGCATTCTGAATTTTGCTTGAGGGTACGGTTATATGAATCATAACTCTGGGGCTGCTCCCTCATCAGATCTCCCTCGTGGGTAATCAGATGGTGGCTTGGCTCACAGCTCCACTCCCGCCTATGGGACTCATGGCTGTTCTCCTCTGTGACCCTCTTCCTAGGGGTGACAGTCATAATAAGCCTGGTACTTGGGGGCTGTGAAGGGGAATACCTCAGTCTCTTCTCTGCTGGGTTTTGTTGGGGCCCCTCTAACCTGCTAAGATAGGAAGAGGGTTCTACAAGGTTGCTGCCTTGTTCCCTAGGGATCCCTGCCAACAAAATCCACTGAGACTCATCATTAGATATTTCCTGATTATGAAGAGATTCCATGTTACCCTTCTCAGGCCCATCATCTGAAACAAAAAGAACAAAACACAAATGTCACCTGTTCTCTGTAGTGCGAGCAAGATTACCTAGGTTTCAGCAAGGCATTTGAGAGACTATTTCATGAAATGATTGTGGCCAACATGGAAACATATGGACTGGATGATAATGCTGTTAAATGGATGAGGAGCTGGCTAAGTGCTCAGACCTAGAGGATAGTGATTACTGGATTGATGTCAAACTGTCAGATGACAATCTGGGGGGATGTCTCTGATGTAGTACCACAAAGATCTAGCCTCTGCACAATTCTGTTCAATGCTTTTATCAGTGAATTTGATGAAGGCAGCAGATGGCAGGTTTGTGAAACTGGAGAATGACGCAAAGCCCGAAGGCATAGCTATGTGGAATATGGAATGAAAGACCCAGGGTCCAAAAAGCTGACAGGTTAGAACAGTGAACTCAATCTAAGAAGATGAAGATTAAATAAGGATAAACGTGAAACATTTAACTTGAATTCAAAAAAACTAACTGCATGGGTAGAAGACGTGAGAGGCCTAGCTAGAAACAAATTCTACACAGATTGAATGCGCTGCTTTAGAAGGGGGGAAGATGTGTTACTAGAGGCCTTCAAGCAAAAGGTAGGTGGGGATGCTGGAAGTCCATTTTTGGGATAGAGGCTAGGTCAGATGACCATTCTTCCCAAAACTCCCTTCTGCTCTTTCTTCAATCCTAAACAAAAGCCTCTCTTCTTAAATTAGCTTTATAAATACAGAATTATCACGGATCTTAGCAATTTCAAAGGTCAGAAACATTTTAGAGTCAAAAACTATAAACACCCAGATACCTCCACTTAAAAATTCACCCATTTGAACATAAGTACTGAAGCAAACCTTGGCTTTTCTTACTTATCCTGCTTTAAGAAAAGGCTTTTATTTTTCTTCTAAGAAGCCTGCCTCCAGCTTCTAACACTTGACTTTGAGCTCTGACTGCCCAAGTGAAAATTTCTTATCTGTGTTCTGTTCATTCTAGGGACAAAACATCCCTGCATGACATTCCTTCAACTGTGAAACTGCTTCTTTCTCTCCTGGTTTTCCCAGCTACCCTATGCTTCAGTACTAGGCCAGAAGGCAGAGGTTTTTTTTGGGGGGGGGGGCGGTGGCGAGCAGCTTTTTTTTTTTTAAACAACTCAATGTTCCCTAGAAACAGCTTTAAGAGCCCCCTCCTATATCCAAACCGATTGGTGTCTAAGTTATTTTGCTTCCAATTCTTTAGGATTCATCATTGGTTCGCCCAACACATGCCCAGGCCTCCATCACAGGCCACGTTGTAAAGCGGCTCTCTCTGACTTTGTCCCGGCAGAACATTAACAATACATTGGAAGAACGCTGAAGCAGAGACCCACAGGGGTTTTCTCTCAAAGCTGGGCAGCTCCCCACATGGCCTCTCAAGCAAGAGAGAGAAGTGGAACTGGGGGAAAACAGGGCAGGGCAATACAATAAAGTAACAGGAAAAGCTGGCACAAGCTTTCCTTCCTACCAAACAGTATGGACAGGAAGTCTGCTTCGGGATTGGGGGCCGTGGGGGCAGGAATAACTACTTGGCATTATGAGTGGAAAGAGGAATGTCTACCTATATAGGAGGTACAAAAAAACAGACCCTGTAGAGTTTGCGAAAAGGTGTTCTCAAGAAGGGAATTCAGGAGAGTCCCCCCATGTCTACAGCTACGTGCTCACTGTCCACACTGCCAGCCTCTTGGCTTCACGGCAGCTCACAGAGCTAGACTGAAGCCCCACCTCCTCAACAGGCTCCCCTCAGGGGCTCTGGCCCACACACGACTCTCCTTTTCGAATCCTTCTGGCATTCATTATCTGTAGCATGTGACACATACCTTTGGACAAAGTGTTCTGTTCTCTGACTGATGTTTTTCAGCGATTTATATTACGTGATTTTTTTTTTTTCTGGCCCAAACCTATGGTTTCATCAGTGTAGGGAACTGAGTCCTCAGAAAAGACAAGCTCCTCTACCAGTGCCTGGGGCACTGAGACATGAAGGACTGGCCCAGGGTCACACAGCCAGGACAGGTCAGAGGAGGCCCTCGGCCCCAGACCTTCCTGATTCTGATGTCAGCTCTCCAGCCACCACTACACCAATGATGTTTCTTATTATGGGAGGGAGAGAGAAATGACACTGTCTTAGACACTGGTCCAACTGTCTTATCCTAAAGATGACAAGAATGAGGCCCAGATTAGAAATGACTCCCCCAAGGTCACAGAGCTCCCTCCACCTACCACCCAATTTTACTTTCTTAATTAGACCTCAAAGCTCTCCGCTAGCTTGGGCCAAATCTTAAGCTTCCTTGGTTTGTATGCCACAGCACCTACCACTGGTAAGCCTCCGGGCACTCAATAATGCTGAAGGGTTGACATCACTGCCACACTCACCAGGCCAGGTGGTCTGATCGTCTTCTGTTCCCTGCAGATCTGGGACCCAGGGCATTTTTCCTTGCTCCAGCTGGGAGATCATTTCAGGCTTGCAAGCAGAAAGACCTGCTCGTGTGGAAAGAAGAGAAACATGAAATCCCTCACCATCCCCTCAAGTGATCACCCTAGAGCTTTCCTCCTACCCCAGCCAAAATTCTGGAAAAGGAAGGAAGGAAGCATTTCTTAGGCACTTACTACATACCAGGCACTGTGCTAAGGGTAGGGGATACCAAGAAAGGCAATCCCTACCCACAAGGATCTTACATACAACATCCTAATGGGGGACCCCCCCCCCCCACAGCCTATATTTATTGCTTCCTCTTTCTCACCTCCCATTCACTCCTACCCTCTGCATTTTGACTTCCATCCCCACCACTCAACTGAAATTACTCTCTCCAAGGTCCCCAGTGCTGGTGGTTTTTATTGATAAGTCAAAAGGCCTTTTCTTGATCCTCAATTTTCTTGACCTCTCTGAAGCCTCTGACATTGTTGACTTCTCCATTCTGGATCGTCTATGCTCCCTGGGTCTGCGTGGCATTGTATTGCTGTGGTTCATTGCTTATCTAGTGAATCAATCCTCAGTCTTCTTTGCTGGCCCACCAACTATATTCTACTCCCTAGGCATGGGTAGACTCCAGGGTTCTGTGCTGGGCCTTTTCCTCTTCTCTCCTGATGATCTCATCAGCTCCCAAGGTTTATACTATCATCTCTATGACTCCCACACCGACACATCTCATCCTAACCTGACTCCTGAGCTCTAGTTCCACATCTCCCACTGCCTACTGGTCCCACGTTCCCTTGTGCATCCAGAGGCATCTCAAACCCAACATGTCCAATATAGAACTTGTGATCTTTCTCCCTAAAGCCACCCCTCCCCTCATAACTTTCCTATTTCTGTCATAGGTACCACATTCTTCAATACACCAAGGCTCCCAGCCCAGGTGTGACCCTTGACTCTTCACTTGGCCCTGCGCCGCCGCCCCGCCCCGCCAATCAGTTGCTAAGTCTTAGACTCTACCTCACCATCTCTTCTGTCCATCCTCTTCTTTCTACTCATTCTATGACCATGTTCATTAGGGCCCCCATTGCCTCTTGCCTGGACTACTGAAAACAGCATCCTAAGAGGCATCCCCAAGGTGGCCCCACGTCTAGTCTCTACCCTCTCCAGTCCAGATATTCATCTGCCAATGTGATTTTCCTCAGGCTCCTGTCTGACCCCTCTGCTCAAGAGACTCCAGGGGCTCCCCCATTGCAAGTGTCAGGAAAGAAATTGCTCTGTTTGGAATTTCAAGCCCTTCTCAGTCTGTTTTGTGCCTGCCTTCCCAGGCTGGCCACATGCTATATACCTCTATGGTCTGGCACCGCCACCCTACCCTGTTTTATTCTTCCTCCCATTACAGTGGCTACCTGGACAAAGTGGATGGGCAGAAGGATTGAGGAAGCTACTGAGACACCATCCCATGGAAGCCCAGGTATTTCTGGAGCAGCCTATTAAAACTAAGAGGAAAGAGGCAGCTAGTGGGTGATGTGCTGGGCATAGAAAGATGAGGAGTTTGTTTGCCTGGCTAGAGAATGGCAAAATCAAAGGGATGAGGAGGCCTGTACCAGGAACCTGGGAGAATTCCAGGGAATGAAGCCAATGGGAAACATCAATCGATTAACATTTATTAATTGCCTATTATGTACCAGGCGCTGTGCTAAGTGCCGAGGATACAAAAAGAGGCAAAAGCCAGTCCCTGCCCGCAAGGGGCTTACAAAAGCTGCCCATTTCCAACTCAGAGTCACTCTGAGCTGTGAAAGGGTGAATGAGGTCTACACAGCATTTTCCCTACTAGACTAGCTTCCCTTCTGACGTATGTATTATCCAAGTCACCCACATGAATCAAATTTAACAAATATTTATATTAAGAAAACATTATATGTAGTAAACTATGCTTAGCAGTAGAGATCTAAAGACAGACAGGCACTGTGGCATGGAGGTTCAAGTCCTACCACAGATACTTATTAACTGTGTGATGCTGGGTAAACCACTTAACCTCTCCAGACCTCAGTTTGCTCATCTGGAAGATAGGGATAATAACAGCACTTGGCTCTAGTCTGTTGTGAGGATCAAGGAAAAGAGTATATGTAAAGTGCTTAACAACCTTAAAAAGCAATGTGTGGGAGCTGTTATTACAATGGAAGATGACATTCTCCCTGCCCTCACAGAGCTTATAATCAGGTTGGGGGAAGGAAGATATACACAAATCCCTGTAATAAAAGTTGGACTATGCCTTACCCATAACAGAGCTAGTAAGTGTCTAGACGGGGATTCAAACCCAGCACCCTATGTACTGCTCCACAGCAGTCAGAGGATCATGTGCTCATACACAGTCATCAGCATATTGTCTCCCTGTTAGGCTGTGAGCTCTGCGGGTGAGGACCGTTGTTTTTGCCTTTTTCTGTAGCTGCAACACTCAGCATAGTGGCTGGCACGTAGTAAGTGTTTAATAAATGCTCATTACCTGACTAAATAACCACCTTTGCCCGAGTCACAGTCCTCTGCACCTCTCTTAGGCGCTAGAGGGTCAGTGATGGCTGAGTGACTGGGGAGGATGGGCTCACTTCCGGCTGCGGGGAAATCGAGGAAGGTTGTACTTGAACTCTTTCTGAAGGAAGAAAAGCATTTTTTTTTTAAGCTTTTAGGCAATTGGGGTTAAGTGACTTGCCCAGGGTCACACAGCTAGTAAGTGTCAAGTGTTTGGTCTGAGGCCGGATTTGAACTCAGGTCCTCCTGACTTCAGGGCCGGTGCTCTATTCACTGCGCCACCTAGCTGCCCCGAAAAGGATTTTCAAGGATGGAAATTCATGACTCTCTTCTAGGCAGGGGGACCGCTTATCCAAATGTACAAAGATAGTATGATTGTGAAAGAGACTGTGATTTGGTATGGCTGGACTATAAAGTGCAGTGAAGGGAACTGTGTAAAATCAGGCTGTGAAAGGAGATTGGGATAGCCTGGGGCTGTTAGGGAATTGAGTTACTATTTTATTCTGCAGGCAATGGGGAGCCACTGAAGGCTTTGGAGCAGGACACAAACCCCACGTTTTACTCCTTCTCTGTGCTCTCACAGCTACCACCCTAGTGCAGGCCCTTCTCACCTCGGACCTAAATTGGTGCAACAGCCTCCTAATTTGCCTCTCTGCAGCAGGCCTCCCCACTCCAGCCCACCTTCACACTGATGCCAAATGGATTTTCCTTGAATACAGTCAGTCAAGAAACATTTATTAAGTACCTACTATGTGCCAGGCACTGTGCTAAGTGCTGAATCACAGATCTGTCCGTGACACTGTTACTTAAGCAACTTCAGTGGCTCCCTATCACCATTAGGATGAGATGGAAACTTCTCTGTTTAGCCTTTAAATCCCTTTACAACAAACTGGCCCAACCTATCTTCCCAACCTCACTGGACATTATACCCCCTTCTACACACTGCCATGTGGCCATCCTGGACTTCTCTCATCCTCACATGCCATATTCCATCTCCCGTCTGCCACCTTCTTTTCCTGGGATGCCCTTCCTCCTCACCGAACCCACAGAGTTCCTCTTTCCTTCAGGATGCAGCATAAGCACCACCTTCCCTAAGAAGCCTTCTTGGACTCCCTCCCCATCCCCACTTCCTGGTGCCTTCCTTCCTTCCCTGTCTCCCTCCCAACCTGCCTTCTATTTAACTCCTCTGTATTTATTCTCTTTCTTTCTATGCACCATACACTTACAGACACATGTCTTTTCTCAAGCACTTACCATGTACGTTCCCAAGCACAGGAATGGGTTCATTCTTTGTACTTGTATCCCCAGCACAGTGCCTAGCACATAGTAGGTGCTTAATAAAAGCTTTTAAAAATTAATTTTTAGTACTTATTATTTTTATTATATTTTATTATTTAGACCTGTACATTAAGATCACCCAGGCAGGGATGTGAATGATGGCTGAGAGAAGAGAGACACTGGATGCATGGGAAACAGTTGAGAGGTTATTACTCCAGAAGAAAGTTCATTAGAATATAAAGGAGAACGATGAGAAGAAATACAGGAGAGATACTCTGGTGGCAGATTGATACTTGGGCCCCGGTAACTGGTTAGATTAGGACAGAGAGGGTGTGGTAGGGAGGGAAGAGTCAAAAACGTTTTCCAGCTTGGGTAACTGGGACAATGATGGTGTCACTGATAAAACCAGAGAAGTTAAGAAGGGTGGGTTTTGGGGAGAAGATACATAGTAAAGTTTTGAACATGCTATTTGAGACACAATGAGACATTCAAGTGGAGTTGTCCAGGAGGTGGCTAGAAATGCAGGATCGGTACTCGGGGAACAGGATGCAATGGGGTTCCAAATTTGAGAGTCATTGGTATAGAGATAATAATAAAAGCCATGGGAGTAGATGAAATTGACAAAGGAGAGCACAGAAGAGGGTGGACAGAGCCTTGGGCGAAGCCCACATTTAGGTCTTGGGAGGAAGAAGAGTTCAGAGTTGGAAGGGATCTATAACGTCATCTGGTCCAACCCATAACTGAAAAAGAATCCCCTCTGCCAGATGTGATCAGTGGTCATCTGACCTCTGCTTAAAGATCTCCTGTGAGGAAGACCCACTACCTCCTAACAAGAAGGAAGTGGTCGTCCACAATGTCAAATGCAGCAGCAAAGTCCAGGAAGTTAAGAACAGAGAAAAGACCAGTGGGTTTGGCAGTCGTGTGTAACTGCGGAGGGGAATGTGGACAACAGAGGAGGGTTTAAAAAAGCAGAACAAAATAGAGGTGAGATCACAGGCCTGACGAGATGGCACAGTAACTGCTTTTAGCAACCCCAAGTAAACCAAACAAACCACAAGAAAAGGAATGATGCATCAAATAGAGAGAAACCAAAGCTGAGTCCACACGATAATCAAGTATAAACACCATGAAATAAGTCAAGAGTATGGTGAGCACAAGCAAACTCAAAGACTTAATTCAGGAAAAAAAAACCAGCTGGGATCAGGCCTGTCCCCCTGGAGTTTACTCTGGGCAGTGTCCCAGGCCCAGACAACCTTCATGA